TTGTCAAGCAGCCTTGTCAGAGATGGCTGTGAGCGGTGAGGGAGAGGGAGAACCAGGATGCCTGCCGAAGAATCAGAGCAGCACATCCTGCTGCACTGAGATAGGAAGTTATGTCAGGATTGCAAAGAAGCAAGTTAGTTGGGAGAGATGATTTGGGGAAAAACATGTTGGGGCTCATGTTTCATTGGAGTCAGGGTCAAAGGCATGCTTACCACAAGGATTCTTTACTTCATGTGAGACTAATCTTGGGGTTCCAGGACTGAACAAGCCTGCTTTGGTTCTTTTTTTTTTGAAAGGTTTATTTATGTATACAAGAGCTGGGATGTAGGCCAGAGGCTGGGGTGGGGGGTGGGGTATGAGAGGATTCACCAGAGACAGATGGGGAGCCATCCTCCATCTTCTATTCCTTTTTATTTAAGGTAGCAGGACACTTGTTGCTGGCCACTGAAGGAGTTAAATGCATTGAATTTGCAAGGAACACCCTTGCTCTGGAAAAGGGTGTGGCTCATGGCACATCAGACTTTCAGAGCATAGGTTAGATGTAATCTCCATCTGCCAGGTCTGTGCATATCATCTCCACCTTTTATTGAGCGCCTACTGTGTGCCTTATGGATGCTCTGGGGTTTTTTTGGTTTTTTTTTTTTAAAGATTTATTTATCTATGCACACAAGAGCTGGGGCACAGGCCAGAGATGCGGGAAGTGAGAGGATTCACCAGAGACAGAGTGGTGAACAGAAAAGGCAGATCGAGTGAAATACACTGCTGAGGGGAGCAGCGGGGGATTCAGGAGAGGTCTGCTGCACCATGTGGGCTGCTCCCCAGCTGGCTGGGAATTGAACTCGTGCTACAGAGGCTGCGGACCGCTTCACAGTGCAGCGCTCAATCCCTTGCACCACCAGGGAGGCCCAGGGTGCTCTGAGTTTTTTTTTTTACGGGCATTTTATCAGTCATACAGTCTTTATCGTTGGCATTTGAAGAAATGGAGGCCCAGGAATTTATTATTAGAAAGATTTAAAATCAATAGAAGAATTGTTAGTGAATGGTAGGCAAATATACTGAGAAAAGGACAGTATTTTCCTTCCTTTTTCTTTCTCATTTTCCCAACCCCATTAACCTGCACTGGCCCTGTAAAAATTTTTTTTTTAAATTTATTTCACTTATGTTATACAAGAACCAGGGTACAGGCCAGATGCACGGGAGGGTGAGAGGATTCACCAGAGACAGAACAGGCAGACTGACTGAAATACACTGCTGAGGGGAGCAGTGGGGTCTGCCATGCCATGTGGGACCCCCGCCAGCCGGCCCTGATCAAACTGGCGCTGCAGAGGCTGCAGACAGCTTCACAGCGCTGTGTTCAACTGCCTGCGCCACCAGGGGAGCCCCCCTGTAAAAATTCTTTTAAAGGGGCAAGAGGAAACATTGATTTGTCACCATCATAATTAGGTATTTAAAATATTTCCAGTTTGCTTTTTGTTCTAAATATTCGATGTTTCTTACATTCTAGAGATATCAGAAAAGCCATGTTTGGCTTTTGACATACAAGTAGATTATCAAAGCAAGTTTGACTGATGGGGCAAGTTAGCTCAATTTTTTTTAGTGGGGGGGGTACCTCGTTTTTCCCTAACACAAGAATTTTATTTTAGACACTTTTTATGCCTCACATCACATCCTCTTGTCTCATACCTTGCTTAAGTCATTGCCGTAGCAACTGACTTTATGCCTGGGTAACCTGACTGTCCCTTCTGTTAGCTGCATAGAGTATCTCTTGCTTTCTTGCCCCAGGGCATCTTCTCTGCCCTGGTGCAGGACATCTAGAGAATCCCATTTACTTATAACCAACCTGAAGTGAGAGGTTATGAAACATTCCTCACTTAACCCTTATGAAGGATGAGCCAGTGGATAAAAGCTTACTTCTTCCAGTTATTATCTCTTAGACATCCTGAGCTGTGTTTCAGTCTCCTTAGAGGTCCTGGTAGGATGAAGTATAAGTTGCCCATGGCAGAAACAACTCTAGAATGCTTTCTGGGTTGCATGTCCCCTCTTCTGTTTCTTCTTGGTCCCCCACTCCTATTTTCTAGAACCCTCTACAAATAACCAGCTGCCTTTGAGCTTAGGTCTCAGCCTCTGCTTTCTGGAGGAATAGAGCAGGCTAGGACAACAGTCTCTGTAGAAAATTAAGTATACAAATAAATGGGGGAAATCTAAAATCACCCATAATCCTGCCCTTACTAGAAGTATCTTCTGCTAAGATTGAGTGCATATTCTTTTCAAATGCATATACACTTCTTAAAAAGGTTAAATCTGGGCTCTATCTATCTGTTATGATCCTGATTTTTTTCTTTCTACACTGTGAACTTTTTCATGTGCTTTCTCCTCCAATGTACCACTTAATAGCTACATAGTATTTCATTTATTATTTATTTATGGAACCCACAGTATATTTCTGAAAAAGTGCTGAAGACAGCCATGAACAGATAAATTAGGTGCTGTCGTGGAACTGACCTTCTAGTTAGGATCTTTATTACATTCAAATTGGCCATAATTACTTTAACCAGTGACCAAAGTCAACTACTTAGATTACATCTGACTTTTGATACAGTAACAGTGAACATCCTTGAAGGTATTCTTTGAACTTATCCTCTACTTTTTTCTAAGATAAATTCTTAGAAGTGGAATAAAAGAAATGGGATGTAAGTGAACCTGCTAGAATTTCCACTTAGATCTGTGGGACTCTGGAGTCCAGGTTAATAACCATGCTGTTAATATCACTGTATTGAAAAATCATGGTAACTTGAGGCAGCCACATGGCTCCTAGCTGGTTTAGATATATGGGTTGTGTGATTTAACAATTAACAAGTCCAGTCTGGAGCTACTAAAAAAAGTAGGATTCTGGATCTGCAAGTTGCATTGTGATTTTTTTTTTTTTTTTGGTGGCTCAGTTTCTTCATCTGTAAAGTAGGGACAATAATTCACACCCCAAAGTTTGTTGTTCACGCAGTAAACATTTATTGAGCGACTGCAAATCTCCAACTATCAAGCTAAGAATCACAGTCTGGTAGAGAAGGGAGATAGTAATAAACAACTGCACAACTATAAAATTACTAAAGGTGTTCTGAGTGTGGGATGCTGTGACAATGAATAACAGGGAGAACCTAGCTATGGTGATTGTGTAGGAATTAACTAGGTCAAGGTGGGTAGAGAAATTCCTGCAGGTGGGAAGAAACGGCTGGTGCAAAGCAGCTTGAAAAAAGGAATGAGATTATGCATTTGCCACTTTCAGAACTCACAGCCTAGTTATAGTTTCTTTGGTAAATATCTTCCAGTTCGTCCATCTCCTTATTTATTTATTTTTAAAGATTTATTTATTTATACTAGAACCAGGGTACAGGCCAGATGCGGGAGGGTGAGAGGAGTCACCAGAGACAGAGTGGGGAACAGAACAGGAGCAGCGGGCGAGACAGGAGAGGTCTGCTGCACCATGTGGGTAGCTCCCTGGCCGGTTGGAAATAGAACCCCTGCTGCAGAGGCTGTGGACAGCTTCACAGTGCTGTGCTCAACCTGCTGTGCCATCGGGAAGGCCCCATCTCCTTATTTAGCTCTTGGTTTCACATGAACTCTCAGGGAGCTATCTCCAGCCAGTGCAGCGCGAGTTCGATTCCTGGCCAGGGAGGTGACCCACATGGTGCAGCAAGCAGACCTCTCCTGCCTCGCCTGCTGCTCCCCTCAGCAGTGTATTACAGTCATTCTGCCTATTCTGCTCCCTGCTCTGTCTCTGGTGAATCCTCTCACCCCCCACACCTCCGGCCTGTACCCCACAGCTCTTGTATGCATAAATAAATAAATCTTAAAAAAACAAACGAAACACATCAGCTCTCAGTCACCTTCCCCGACCATGTCATTTTATTTTATTTTATTTTTGAAGCTGTATCTTTTCTAATAACTCTTTTTTTAAAATAAATTTTATTTTTATATTCCCCATACAATTGCAATCCCCTTATTTTGACCCCAATCCCTCCCCTCCCGCTCCCTACCCTCCATAGAGTGTCTCTGGTTCATAGTTTTTTGTTGATTTTGATTTTCACTTTCTTATAGTTATTCATTTTCCTGGTCCCTTATTTAAGTTCTCTAGATTCCTGCTATGAGGGAGACCATCCGGTATTTTTCTTTTTCTTTCTGGCTTATTTCGCTGAGCATGATCCCTTCCAGCGCCATCCATGTTACTGCAAACTGCATGTGTTTATCTTTTTTGAATGCTGAGTAATATTCCATGGTGTATATGAACCACATCTTCTTGATCCAGTCATCTATTTTGGGGCATTTGGGTTGTTTCCAGAGCTCAGCTATTGTAAACAGTGCTGCTATCAACATAGGGCCAACCGTGTCATTTTAAAGTTAATCACCTCCTCCCCACTTGAATGCAGATTTAAATGCTAAATTCGGGCCTCCCTGGTGGCGCAAGGGATTAAGATGCAACCTATGAAGCAATCCGCAGGCATTGCAGCACGAGTTCAATCCCCGGCCAGGGAGCAGCCCACATGGCACAGCAGACCTCTCCTGTCTCTCCCGCTGCTCCCCTCAGCAGTGTATTTCAGTCATTTGGCCTGTTCTGTACCCCATTCTGTCTCTGGTGAACCCTCTCACCCCCTACACCTCAGGCCTGTACCCCAGTTCTTGTATGCATAAAAATAAATAAATCTTTAAAAAAAAATGCTAAATTCTCCAACCCCGGCTTAGAATAGTTGATCCGTGTCTGTTGACTGCAGAAACGGTTGTTGATGCAAAACGGCTGTGCTTGTCAAAAAGCCGGGGCGCGGGGCCCGGCGCAGGCCTCAGCTGGGGCGCCCGAAGCCCACCGCGCGGGGAGGGGGCGGGGCGGGGCCGCCCCCGGAACCCCAGCGCCGCGGCGGAGGCGGTTTCCGGTCGCGGCGGACACTTCCCGCGGGGGGACCGTCCCGTGGCACCGGGGCGCGGGCGGGGCGGACGCGGCGGGCGCGGCGGCCATGGACGACCACGGGCTGGACGAGTTCCGCCGGCGCTGGCAGGAGGAGCTGGCGCAGGCCCAGGCGCTGAGGAAGCGGCGGCGGCCCGAGGCGGCCGAGCGGCGGCCGCGGCGGCCGGAGCTGGGGCCTGGGCGCGGCGAGCAGGCCTCGGGGTACCTGGCCTTGGCCCAGGGGCTCCTGGAGGGCGCGGGGCGGCCCCCGGCGGCGCGGGCCGCGAGGCAGGACGCGGCGAGCCGGTCCCGCTCCCCTCCGGCCCGCGAGGGCGCCGGGGGCGGCGAACAGCTCGTGGACCAGCTCATCCGCGACCTGGTGAGTGTCCGTCGCCGCCGCTAAGGCCCGGGCCGGCCCCCGCCCCGGGCCCCCGCCTCTCCCCGGTGCCCCTCGGACAGTAACCGCCTCTCCCCGGTGCCCCTCGGTGCCAGTGCTGGGAGAAGAATGGGTCGAGCGCCGCACACCTGCGTTTGTGCTTGCATAGGGGGTCTCTGGAAGCAGAGGTCCTCTCCAGGGCTACTCGCACCCCCACACACCCCCCTCCGGCCCCCCCAAATTGGCAGTCTGCAGGCATATTTGGGTAGCCCAACTCGGGAAGATGCTGTGGGCACTTAGCTGATAGTGGCCGGGGATGCTCATGAACATGCAAGACAGCACCCGCAAAAAATGATCTGACCCAAATTGTTCATCAATATGAGCTTGAGAAATCCAACTCTCAGGGATTCCTGAACTTTGAACAAGGGTTGCCTTTGGAGAGGAGAAGCAGGCCGCGGTTAGGAAGCACTTTTACAGTAACTTATCTGTGCATTCAGTTGTTGTATTATAGGACAGCCCCGATATTGAACCTCACCCTCAGGTCCCAGCCACCTTCCCTTTGGTGGTGATGGGATTTGGAGCTCCCAGTGTCTTTGGCTTTGGCCTGGGGTGGGGGTGGAGTCCACAAAGCCTGTATGGAATTAGCTTTAGGACAGCCTTTCCCCCTAACAGTTGTATTCAGTGCCTGCCTTTACAAAATTAAGAAGGAAGACGACTCCTTTGGGCACTTTGATTAGTGTGGCAGTTCTTATTAATGTGGGGCCTGGGACCCTTCCAGAATTTAGAGGAAGACGAGGGACCCTTGTTCTCCGTGGCCCACTTCATTATCAAGATCACCTGAAACACATTTATGCTATGGGGGGACAGCAGGTTTCGATAGTTAGGTTTAACTTAGTCTCAAAGGTGACTTCTACCACTTCCCAGTTAGGAGTAATTCTGTAACTGGCAAATTGTTTTGAAAAACAGTATATAGTTATATCAGATAGGCTTAATAGCTGTTTGAGTCCTCACTAAGTGTCTGATCCTGTGTCCTGCCTTATTTCTAAGGTTAGATATGTAACCTTTTACTTTGTATACGTGTGTCAGAAACATTCTCATTTAATAACAGTTCTTATACATATGAAAATTCAGCCTGGCATCATGCCTACTTCCAAAAAAAGTGGGTCATTACTAAAAAGTGTTAGAGGTATGTTAAAAAAAATCTGTGCCTTGCGAAGGTAGCTTAGTGATTGATAAATTGCTCAGGACAGCTTAGACCTATGAGGAAGTTATTCCATAGAAGTAGGTTTGCGGGGGAGGGTATAGAGGGAAACAAGAAAGCGGATTATGAGGACAAAGGCACATTTGGGTGCTCACAGCTGAAATCTCACTGACTGGCAGTGTCTTGAGACCCCATAACCATCCTAAATGTCCTCTTATAAATGGAAACTCAGTTTTGTTATTTCCCCAGGGAGGACCACTTGCTAAGTTCTGAAATATGAATTAAAATACGAATTTTGGCCCCTTTTTAGAGTCAGTCCCTAGAGGAGGGACCCAGAAATCCAGATGTTGGAGCAGTCAAGTTCTCTCCTGTCCAATTTTCTTGGCCTGAAGTCCTGATTCTCAAGGCTTTCCGGCCCTAACACACATGGGGAGTAGGTGTTGACAGCAAAAGCAGGCGAGCCCTAAGTGAACTGTTCTAGAAATGGGGGGGGGGAACCAGTTTACTAGAGGATCCAAGGGCCACATCATAATCTAAGTTTCATATGTACTTAGAAAAAACCTGCCCACTGTCTCCACCCCCTTCAGAATCACATTAGGTACTGCTAGGCTTTGCGCTACTAGCAGCAGCATCTAACCTGTGGGTTTTTTTTGTTTTTTTTTTTTTTCTTTTTGTAATTATCAGTTAATACTGCTATAAATGTACTAATTCATGGTGTGTTTGCTTCCTATTTCCTTGGTAGCCATTATCTTCAGTTCTCTCAGCTCTTTCCGGTGGCCACTGTGAGCCTCATTTGGCACATGACATTAGGAAAGTACATCGTTAGGGGGAGTACATCCACCCAGAATCTTTAGTCTCAGAAGCACTGGTAACCTTTATAGAAAGGGCTTGGATCCCCTCATCAGTGGATGTAAGCCTCAAAGGCCCCAGAGATCTAGTAGGTAATGCAAATGAGTGAAGTAGACTAGATGATGCCCATTCAGCCCCGTTCCCCAGGTTTATCAGGTGTAAGTATCATTTCCAAATTCCAGCCATACTTTTGTAATGATTTATTTCATAATGGGTACCATTCTTCTGGTCACATTAAATATTATACATGACTGTAGAAACTGTCTCCATGATCTCTCTAAGGAAAATACTTAACTTTTTCTTGAAACACAGGCCTCCTCTTGGTCTTGTTTTCTCACTTTTAAAGTCCCCCCCCCCCCCACCATTCTTTCTACTGAAGTGTACAAATCACAAACGTGCAGCTTGGTAAACCTTCAAGAGTATATGCATCCACATGTATGCAGCATCCAGATTAGAGCAGCATTACCATTTTGTCAGACCCCCACATGTTCTTTTCCATGCATGGGTAGCCACTGGACTTCTAGTGCCTTCTTTTTGCCTATTTTTGAACTATATGGGTAGAACCTTAGAACACGTAGTTTTGTATCTGGGTTCTTGTATATTGCATGGCAAATTTATTCCTATGAATATGCCATATTTTTTTCATTCTGAAGGGGGAGTGTTCTTGATAACCTGCTTATTCATAGACATTTTGGGGCTCCCAGGAATAGCGCTGCTGTGGACGTTTTATCTCTGTTGAAACAGGTGCATACATTTTTCTTGGGTATTTACCTAGGTGTGGAGTTGCTTGGTCATAAGATGTGTGTTTGCTCCCTCTTAGTAGATACTGACAAGCAGTTTTCCAAAGTGGTTATACTGTGGTGGTGTTTTGTGTTTTTTTTTCCCACTTTCAGTAGTTGCTAGAGTATATAGCATACTCTAGCAGTCTCTTTCACTTCAGAGTCTTCGACATCATCGCCAGAATGAGAACAGCTAGGAAGTTAGCGGTCAAGAGTTAAGTTGCCTTTGGATGGGTAGGTGCACAGCACTGCCTCAGTGTTGGGGACAGGCTGGACCTTTACAGGACAGGCACACAGCTGAAAGGAAAACTTAATGATTCCTTGAGCCGCCTCTGTGAAGCTTTTAATAATAATACTTAGAAGTCATCTGTTTTTAGGTGGTGAATTGTGAACACCTAAATTGTCTTCATATGGCATTGAACTCGTGAAAGAAATGATACACCCCTGGACAATTTCAGAAGCAATAGGTACTTTCTATTGTCTTCCATTTTCTTCTTTCCATAAACTCAGGGTTCTCAGTGTAGTGAGGCCCCCTGAGTATAATTGCAAATATGCTGCTTTCTCCACTGTGGTGGTTGTGGTATCCAGTTGCTTGGGCCTATTTTTATTTAGGTAATATATCTGCTCTATGGATTGCAACTCAAGCTGGCTTTAAAAATGGAAGCCAGCTTCTTGATTTATGTAACTGAAGATTCCAGGCAGTGGTGCTTGTCTGGGTGCGTAACTGAAAATCTCTTCATCTTTGGTTCTGCTTTTCTTTTCTTGGCTTATTTACAAGCAGGTGCTCTCCTTTTTGGGATAAAATGGCTACCTAGCAACTTAGCAACCCAGGGAAAAGAGGGCCTCTGTTTTGTGCAGCAGAAGTCATGAGCTTTGCTTCCATTTGTCCAGACTACGTTGTGTATCCATCATTTTGCCAATCACTAATTTGAATTTACCAGACTTTTTTATCTGCTGCACTTGAAGATAAAGGTGGGGTCAGCCCCACCTAAGTCACCGTGACCAAGAATGGGAGTAAGATGGTTTCAGGAAAGAAAAGGGAATGGATGTTGGGTAGGAAACAACAGAAACGGATGTCAACTTTAGCTGGATTAGTGTTTGAAATGACACTGTGGGAATGTATATGCTTTCTAATCCAACATAGCATTGAATGATCAGCTAGTAGATCAGAAATAACATGGGCATCAGCTATAAACAGCATAGGTGCAGTTCCTCCTCTCAGAAGCCTGTAGCTTTGCTTTTTTTTTTTTTTTTTTTTTTGTGGGACCCTTGCCTGGTGGCCGGGGATTGAACTGGCGATGCAGAGGCTGCGGGCAGCCTCGCAACCCAGCGCTCAACCACCATGCCACCAGGGGAGACCCAGCTTTGCTGCTTTTAACTGAGTAGCATTAATGGACGCTGCCTTAACTTGTCAACTGTGGATGATGCTAGTACCTTTTGTAAAGAAGCATTGACACATAAAGCATGGACTATTCCTAGTACCAAACCTCTTGTACAATAAGCAGCCAGTGATTTTAAGCTGGTGCTGTTATTATCATTCGTGTTGCAGAAGACTTCATTATACCCTTTCACTTCCTCTTTGCTGAGACTAGTCACTGAAAAGCTCCTCAACTCCCCACTTGCATAGGATCTGTTGTCTTACTCTTTCTTGTATCTTCCCCTGTGGTACTCAGTACACTAGGGGCCCCATACATTTGTTGATGAAACAACATGGGCAGAATGACAGCTTCCAGAGGCAATGATGGAGATACTGTCTGGTTTTTAGGACCTGTGACCATTCAAAGCATTCTTCAAATTAAGATCTGGATTTTCAGGTCTCATAAAAGTTTTAATACCGCTGTCCAAAACTTATTTTTCACTATGCCAGTATTTGTCATAGCCTGTCTGTGTTGTCAACAAAATCAATTTGATGACATAACTCCTGTATTTTTAAGTTAGAAACTAGCTAGAAAATTGCTAATATGAACTAAAGCGAATTGAATCAAATGTGAACTCTTGGTTTGGCTTAGCTAGAGTGACCTTCCTTCCTCTTTGATGTCCATTGCCTGCCATTTAGGGCTCAATTTGAATTCTGTCTCCTATGTCCCTGCAGCCCAAAGTTCTCTTCTTTCTCCTTTTTCCCCAACTAAAAAGTTCTTATTGTCAGTGCCATTCATGTTTTCCTGTCATGAGTT